GCTGTGTTTGATTATCAGGGGCTGTTTCAGAGGCAAATAGTGAAAGCAGATGTTTAAGGGACAATTGGTGTATGATGAGTGCTGTTCTCACTGCTCCCCTGGTATTTGGTGCTTCTGCTACTCCTGAAATGCCAACGCTCTCTCCTGCTGGGGAATCGGATGAGGACAGGGGAGGAGGTGATGTAACCAAATCTCTAACCCTTCTGCTGAATTTGGGGGTTTTGGGGGCTCAGCGAATCCCTCCGGGACTGAGCCAGCACCAGCCTTGTAAACCCATCCTCTCCAGGAGGCCTTGGATGTGTTAATTGTTTATTTGATAGGCTTAATCCTGGAGGAGGCTTGCCAGAATCCTCCTGCTCTTTTGCACATCCTTCTCGTGTCAGCGGTGAATGTGACACTTGGCCACGGTGTCACTGCTGCAGGTGAAAGGCTGGTTGGTGACACAGGGAGTGGTGGCAGGAGCAGAACAGAGACAGCTGGTGCCCCCTGTGCATCAGCCCAAGGTGGAGAAGCAGCTGGTGGCACTGGAGAGGGCATTGATACCCTGGGAGCTGCCAGGTGAAGATATTTTGGATGTGCAGAGAACCTTGCAAACTCTGGCTTCTCAGTTTCCCTGGGGCAGAGGGGTGGTGAGAAACATTCCCTCATCTGCAAGTGGGAATTTGGGGTGGGATGATGAAGTGATGGAGTCCAGTCCAGCATTCCAACTGCAGGGCCCCRTTTCCTTCCAAAGGTTCCTGCCTGACTTGCTGGGTTGGATTTTAACTGCTCAGGCTGTGAGAATTGCTGRTATTCCTCCCATCTCCTCAGACCTTCCCTCTGTCTCTCCCCAACCACCCCAGCCGGTGTGGCAGCAGCTTTAGAAGTGAATTCGTGCCCTCACCTCCTCTTTCATTCTGGAAAGTCGTTAACATGAAATTGCCAGGCAGAGAAGCTCCAGAGAGTTTAACGTGGCTACTTTATATTGCTGCTACGAGTGTCTGGAATTGAAAATAAACCTGTGCTTGCAACTCCTGACCCTTTCATCATAAATCCAAACTTCCTTACGCGTCTCTCTTTGCTGCAGAAGATGACTGTATTTCTGTCTCTACAAAGGCCYGTGTGCAGCTGAGAGCCACAGCTGTGCAGAAGCCGGGTGGTGTTTATTTGTAGGGTTTTGCTTGCTGGCGTTTTTTTGGCAGATGATCCCCAGAGGAAATAACCCAAATAATGTTAAATGAAAATAGTTTTCGTGTGGCGTGTGGCTTGCTGGCCTGGCTCCTGTTCCTGGGGGAGGGTTTGTCCACATGGCAAACCRCAGCTCTGTGATTGCTTCTCTGGCACCCACCCAGCAGCACGTGAGTGGACTCAGAATTCTRCAGCAGTTTTTGAAAGTGACCTTAAAGATCATCCAATGCCATGGGCAGGGATACTTTCCACCATCCCAGGGTGCTCCAAGCTCTGTCCAGCCTGGCCTTGGACACTTCCAGGGATCCAGGGGCAGCCACAGCTTCTCTGAGCAATCTGTGCCAAAGCCTCCCCACCCTCATCATAAACAATTTCTTTTTTAAATCTACTCTGACTCTATTTTCTTTAAAAAAATCTGTCCCCCTATTTCTCTGTAAGTCCTTCTTACAAGGGTGTGTCCTTCTAAAAATATCATCATGTAAATAAGGTCAAACATAGAAGCATAAAGTTAATTTTGTGTCTGTGTGGGATATCAGCCYGTTAAGGGTAGGTCTGAGTTCAGCTGGAGCCCAATTAGATGGGAGGAACCACCTTGTGGCAATTAGATTAATTAAATCTCAACAGGTTGTAAACGAACCACAGGTGTTTGTGGTTAATCTGTGATTTTTTTTGGGGTTATATCCTCCCAGGCTCCTGCCTGGAAGGTTCTGGATGGTGTGGGAGGGCTGATTGTGTGGGTTYTGTCTGCTCTCAAGTGCTTCAGCTGGAGTGGCTGTTTTGGCTGTGCTCCTCTCCTGAGRATGTCTCCGACTGTGCCAGCTCTGCTGGATTTGTCTCATTTCGCTCATTGTCAGAGTCATTTCCTCGTGTTTGGGATGGAATTTTGTACTCCGGACCTTGGGTAAGATATTGCTCGTTCTGTTAAGCTTTTTACCCTCTCGGTGGTGGAGAAAACTCTCTTGTTTTCCTTAAAAACTTTCCTCCCTTACTTGCTGCTTTCAGCCTGGAGTGTTTTTTCTCAGCTCATCAGGCTGTTGGAGTGAGCTTTTAGGCAGTTTGATTGTACCCTTGAAACACAAATCGTGCTAATCTAAAAATTTAAGAGTTTCTGGTCAAACTGGGCCTGGCTTGAAGACCTAGATTTTTCTCAGAGTTTATATTCATAATGCAAATAATGAGAGGGGAATATCTTTATAGAGTCTGACTGAGAGATATAAGAAAGAAAGGGAATATAGGGTAATTCTGGTTGGAAGGACATCAGAGGGCATATAGTTTGGCTGAGGGGATCCTCTGAAATCCTTTTTTTAACAGCTGGCTCTGTTGGAAGGTGCATTCCCAGTTTGGTTGGGTGGCTCCTTCTCTTCCCCACCTCCTTTTCTCTTCTGATTATGGATTTCCACMGCCCAGAGCTGGTTTGCCGATTTATCTCGGACTTTTTTGCTGGCGTTTTGGACCAGCAGCATCCTGCCTTCTGCTGGTGAAAGCTGCTGATCTGCTCCCTAATTGCTCTTTGAGCCGGAGTTTTAGCTCTGCTAAAAAGGGCAGTCCACCAACACTAATGACTCCTGCAGGCCGGAGCTCAGGCGAGCTGATCCCTGCTAATGGCTCTTCGAATTCCTCCTAGGTTTTATGTATTTATAAACACATTTAGGACACATTATTCTTCCATTCAGCAGAACCATCTGTAATTATTGCCCGTAATTGCTGGGTGAGGATAAAATGAACCAACCATCGGGGGCTTTTACTGCTGGYGAACTCAAGCAGGGAGCATCACTTTTTTTAGCTTTGTTTCCAGGAAACTGTGAGTTCAGACAAAGAAAATCATCATGGCCCTTTATTACTGATGTAGCAAAACTAGGCAACCTTCCTGTACTCTTAATTATTGCTTTTCTAGGCCTTAGTCCAGCAAAACATTTTAAGTGGATGCTTAACTTGAAATCTGCGAATGGCCCCGGAGAAGTTAATGAAGTCCAACTGCTTTGGCAGTTGTGTGCTGGGATATTTGGAGTTTTATTTGGCTTATTCTGATGAGATCTGTGACCTGTATTGGCTTCACCTGCTTTGATGGTGCCTGAAGGTTGGAGAGCTGCCTGTGCCATGTCCCTGCTGTGGTTCTAGAACTCCCTGAAGCCCAAAGAAACACTCTCGGGGATAACTGGGCACTGCATTAATTGATGTGAAAGGATCCCTGTGGAGCCTCTGTCTGAGGAAAATCCTGTTGAGTTCAAAAAAAAGGCAGAGCATCAATGAATAGGGTTTTTTCTCTGCTTGTTGGGAGTTTTTGGGTTTCTCCAGTAAAGGCTGGATAACCCCTGTAGTAGCTGTGAAAGCTTCCCCCCTCCAAAGAACTTCAGGGAATTACAGAATGGTTTGGGTTGGAAAAGACCTTAAAGAGCATTGATAGAAAAGATGGGTGCTGATGTCTCTACAAACAACTCGATGGATGAGGGGTCTTTAGAAGAAATGGGTGATAATGTTTTTGAAATGAGTGATAATGTTTTTGAAATGGGCCTTTACCTACCTCAAGCCACCCACACGTTTGTTAGAAAACCCTGAAAGTTTGACTGCAGTTTGAAATCCTGAATTTTAAGGTAATGGACTAAAGGGTCTGGGTAAAGTCTGCAGGTCCCGGGTAGTTTGAACTTTGGGGTAAAATGGCATTTTCAAGAGGGGAATAAGGGGTAGGTGGTGCGGGAAGGCTGCATCTTCCTCGTACATCAGCAATGGGGGAAGGAAGAGGGCAACATGCTGATGGGAATTTAGACAAAAAGGAGGCTGCCACCTCTGAAACCTCGAGAGAGAAACCCCCACGGGGTTATGTCTCTGTGGACTCTCTCCCTTTTTTTGAATAAAGTTGCAGGACTCTTCTGTCTCCTTTATGGACACAGGGTTTTCATTTTGGGTTTTCCTCATAACATCCAGTGCCATCCCTGCCATGGCAGGGACACTTTTCACTATCCCAGGGTGCTCCAAGCACCATCCAACCTGACCTGGAACACYTCCAGGGATCCAGGGGCAGCCACAGCTGTGCCAGGGCCTCCCCACCCTCACAGGGAGAAATTTCTCCCCATCTAACCCTGCTCTCTGGCAGTGGGAAGCAATTCCCCTCTTGTCCTGTCCCCCCATTCCTTGTCCCAAGTCCCTCTCCAGCTTTCTTGGAGCCTCTTTAGGCACTGGAAAGGGCTTTTAGTTTATGATGTTTAATTCTTACCATGGTCCCTACTGCAGATTTGGCCTGGGCTGACTATGCCTCTTGCACACAATGCCTGGACRCTCCTTGGAGGATGGTAATTTCCAWGATAYAGCATGAACAATCCTGCTGATCTTRGAATAGGAAAGGAGTGGTTATTTAGGTTTCACAAATGTGATCCTTAGTGTTGGACCCTGTAGGCAGGTCAGGGTTGATTTTATTTTCCAGGGCAGATTCATCTCTGTGGTTTTTATTCTTGATCTATAGGAATGATGTGAATACTTTTTTCTTTTTTTTTAAATGGAATTAGGTATGTTTAAGACATTTTCAGCAGATTTTCATTTGATTGGTGAGTCTTGACTGGCAAAACTGACTGGTAAAGCAGTAGGAAAAAGGCTTAATGTAATGTATCCTGCTGGGCTGTCATTCAAAAGAACCAACTTTCCAGTTCTCYTTCTGGCTGGAATTCATCACGCAAACTTTGGACAACTATTTTTTTTTTTCCACTCTCTCTCCAGCCTTCCCTGATTTTTGTCAGCCTGCATAAATTACAGGCAYGTTATGCAATGGATGGATACGTCCCAAATGGCGAAAAAATCGGTGACTTCAGCTGATTACACCCTTTTTCTTTCTCTCTTTGCAGCTGTTAACGATTGATGACAATTTCTGTGGCCTGGATATGAATGCCCCATTGGGAGTATCATCTATGGTGCGAGGGCTCCCCATTTTCACCGAGGATGGGGACAGGATGACCTCAGTGATTGCCTATGTCTACAAGAACCACTCCCTGGCTTTTGTGGGCACCAAGAGTGGCAAGCTCAAGAAGGTAAGGCCTACGTGGTCCTCTAATTCTGTTTTTCATATTTTTATGGAGATTTAAGTGTTGCATTGAGCGTGAGCAMAGTCCTCGTCTGAAGGTGCTCCCATTTTGAGGATAAAAAATGGTTTGGTTGGCAAAAAAAAACCCAGTGTTTCGCCCTCAGGGGATAGAGATGATCTGAGGAAGGATAAAATCCTTCTTCCAAATGGTTATTCATCAGGAAATTAATGCTTCAGAAGTCAARCCGCAGCCCCAGTCGCAGATGGACGTGATGTAATTTGCATCCAACAGAATTTTCTGTGTTCAGACCATCTCTAATTGAGTCGTTGATCACAGGGTGTCTGTGCAAGCTGGAGAAAAACTGATTGGGGCTGAAGTTTAGGGAACAGGATTGAGGCTCTGGAGATCTTTCTTCAGAGCTGTGTGACCGGGCTGTGATTTCACCACGAGCCCAGCACGGGATTAGCGGCTGCTCTGCTGATGTCAGGCTGGGGGTTTGTGCTGAAGGAAGAGCGTTTGCAWCAAAAGAAAGCTGTGTCCTGAGCCACGAGAAGCTTTATGTTCATGGCTGATGTCACATGAGTACAACAGAGAGTGTGTTTGTGTTCCTGTTTGGATATTTTCACTGGAAATGTGCTATTTGAATGGYTGGAGTTTGCCTTGTGGAGCACTCAGAGGGGCTGGAGAGGTGGAATCATCCACCTGTGGCTTTCCCAGGGAAAGGGRAGGCATTGGAAGTGACCTTCTTATGATAATGATGAACACTGCCTCCATTTCAACCCCTCTGACAATGTTTGCTTGAAAGCTCAGCCCAGGGATGTTGTAAAATATTGGATGTGCAAAGAGATGGTGGCTTTGCTTTTTGCAAATGGAGATGGGGAGAAGCTGGGAAGGGAGGTTGGGCAGAGCCTTGGGATGTTTTAGGATGTCCTTTCCTCTTTAAATCCCTTTTGCAAGCAAAGACTTCCAAGCTGGGGCAAGGAAGGTGCTGTGGAAAGGTGCTCTGTTGTGGTTTGTGGAGTTGTTTGTTCATGGATGCTGAAGGAAAGTCTGAAATCTTTTTTTTTTGGTTTTTTTTTTTTTCCCCTCTACCTCTTTCTTCACTCGAAAAGGAAATGTGGGCTGTAAATTCAGATGGCATTTCCCCTGTTCAGAGGAAGGGCTGCAAGGGCAATGGGATTCTGCCCACTGGCAAATGTCTCTGGCTTTGTTCAAAACAGAGGAAATGCTGCTCATGCTTTTAAAAAGAAAATATGGTGGTTTTTTTTTTTATTATTCAAGCATGTGGTAAAAGAGCCAAATGCTTTTTTTAAATGGTCATGATAAAAATAATCTCCTCCCCTGCCTAATTAGGTTTTGCTTCCCTGTCATGTGTGATATCACAATAAAGTGTTCAGTTYTCCAGTCAGTCTCTTGGAGGGAGGGAAATGGGATAGTTGAGATTTCAGTGGTAAAATTCAAAATACCTAAACTCTTAATGAGTGTTCTCCTGTGCTCACAAGCTTTTGGTTGGGTTTTTTTTCTTGGCTTCAGAAGAAGAAAACTCAGCCACAGTTCTGTTTTTGCCTTTGCAGTCACATTGCAGAATTCAAGATCTGACTCCTTTTTTAATAGGGGGAAAGTAGGAGAGAAAGTTTTCTGTGCTTCATGGAGTGTGGTAGGGAGCAGGGACAGCCTTATAGGGTAAAGAATGAGGAGAGCTGAAGTGRCTGATGTAATTTGAGAAAGGGAATAAAATGAAGCTTTTTCCTAATGTGCTGAATATTCTGCTTGTGGTAGCTCCCACATTGGGTGAGTTGGAGCAGAGCTGGAGCCTTTGGGCTGAGATTTCCTCAGGTGAATAAATTTCCCCCAAAGAGACAAAACACAAAACCAAATGGGGCTCCCCCAACCACAGGTGATTATTTTGGACCAGTTGGTCCAGGTCTCCTTTARTTGCTGTAGGTTGAGCCCCATTCTTGCTGTGATTTCTGCAATCCCTGACTCTCCCTTCACCCATTGTCCCCCTCCAGTGCTCCCCAGGGTGTCTGACCTTGGGGCAACAACCTGTCCCCTCCTCTGGGTGCTTTGGCACTCAGGATTTTCACTTGATGCTCTTCCACCCCTGCCATGGTCTTTTTGCTGCTTGGTTTTCCACCTTGGCTCATCAATCAGCTCTGCTGAACAGGGAGTGAGGAAAATGCTGCATTGGGGTTGCAGCTCCATCATAACCCATAATGTTAGCATGAGGCTTTTTTTCGTGTTTAAAACCAGTGGTAAATTGGAATAAACCTTGTAGAATTAGATGAAAGTCCTGGACAAATACCAGGAACTGGGATTTTTTTTTTTTTTTTTTTTTTTTTTTTTTTTTTTTTTTTTTTTNTTTTTATTTTTGTGCTGTTGGGTACTGCCAGGCATGTCATACTCTGCTGCTCCTCCTGGTGCAGTGCAGCTCCTCGGTCAAGCTGCAGTGGAATATTTTGGATTTTGGCATGAAAGAGGAGTTCTGAGTTGATCTCCAAGATAGCAGGTTTCATTCTGTGCTTGGAAGACTTGCTGCAAGTCATTATGAGATGGTTTTGGAGAAACTTTGCTGCTTTTTTTTCCCCTGCAGTTTCAGTATTTTCCTCTCTGTGTGTTTTTTTTATATTTATATATATCTATAAGTGGCAGACTGTGGATCAGATTTTGATTTATGCCATCCATGAGTACTCTGCAAAATACTCAGTCATGAAGCGATGTCTGTTAGTTGATATACAAATGTCACATGTGTCAAAGGAATTTATCCAGTGGCACACACAACTGAGGCAAAATATTGTGCTTTACGGGAACATATCATTGAAATGAACACTAGCAGCATATCAGGAGTCTGCCCATGTAACCAAGACAACAAAGGGAGAAAGAAAAGGAAAAAACCAAGATAGAGATAGGGTAGGGAAAGTGAGAGTGAAACCGAATGACACGGTTGGCCCCAGCTATTTCACTGCCCCAGGCAAAAATGCATTTTGCAACCCTTGCTCATTCACAAAGCTCCGTGTGCAGTCCATCAGGAAGGCACTGAATAATGTGCTGGAGAAATATTCCCTCCAATTCAGCTGCCTGGTCCATGGCACAGCCTGGCCCTGCAGAATGAAGAAATAAATAGGATAGAAGTGAAAAGCTATGGAAAGGAAAAATTTCCCTTGTCCATGTCTAATGCACAAAACCCAGTGTCCTTGGATTAAAGGTTTAATGGGGCTTTGTGGCATCTTGGGGATGGAGAAGGGGCAGCCCAGGAAAGGAGTAGGTTCAGTCTTTTGCTCTGCCAAAAACTTCTGGTGTGTCTCCATGCCTCRTTGTCTTTCTTACAAATGGTAGGGAATATTTTCCTTGCTCAAAGAGTGCTGGAGAAAATGAGTGTGTTAAGTGCTGTGAGGTGTGTGATCACCTCAAACAGCTTAACAAATCAGGAGTGGGATGGTGATGCCTGCTGATTTCTGCCTTTTCTTTTTTATACACTCTTTAATATATCTTCTAGACCCTTTTAGRTATTTTATAGGCCCTTTTAGACATTTTCTGTGCTCTTTATGTATTCTATGCCCTTTGCCTATGTGGTTGTAATTCTTGCAGCCTGATATTTTAGCTTAATTTTAGGGTCCTGCTGGGCACAAAAAAAAAAAAATTGTATGGGTGTTACCCAGGGTGTGCATCTCGGTGTGTTCCACCCCAAAGAGCTGTGCACCCGGGATCCCATTAAACACTGGGGGAAAACCATTTGATCCCATTAAACACTCAGGGAAAACCTTTTGATCCCCTTAATCCCCWCTGCCTCACAATTCTAAAACCAGCCAAAAAAGTAACAATGGAAAATCATCTCCTGACCACTCGTGGCTTTGTTTAACGAGAAATATTTAATCTTGGTGTGCTTTGGTCAGAACCCAGTGTCTGTAATTGCCTCCTGTGCCGTCTGTCCCATGGTGTTCCTTGTGTCTGTAGCACTCTGGTGAGTGTTCCCACAGTTTTGGTGTAATCCAGGGAGCCTCGTGGGCTTCCTTGGTAGTGAAGTCTCCTGTACCATGGGAAATGCTTCAGGCAAAACCTGTGGCTGAAATTCAGTTGGCACCCCTGGGAATTTTTAGCGATTTCTTTCAGGAGATCCAAAAAAAAAATTCTCTTGAGTTTAGCAAATGTCTGTTTTGTCTCCCTGCAAACAGCACAGGAGCTATTYCTGGGGATGTTCTCCCTGCAAACCACTTTGCTCTGGAACAGCCAGGTGCCAAAATTCCCTGGCTTTTTATTTTTCCCTTGCTCACTGTGTTGCTTGGCTCTTCGCTCCAGTGGCAGGAGAAAACCAGGAATGTATCCGTGGAGATGTTTTGTGTGCTTGGTTTGGATTTTTTTCCTGGTGTGCCTGGCCAAACCATGTGTCCCTAATACCTGGCATCACTGAGAAAGTGTAGCAGTATCCCATATTCCTTGTATTCCTTCCCCAGGCATTAATTTATGGGTCATTGCTTTTGTGCAGATCATTTCCRGTCAAAGAAACACAACTTACCTGCAATTATTTTGTGTGTAGGTGCAGGTGTAAAGGGACAGCTGAGCTTACAAATGTCAGCCTGGAAACRGCCTTAGGAATTGCATTTCTTACAAAACAAAGCTCTGGTCTATTTTGAAATGTTTATTTGAAAATGGAGTAGTGGAAATTTTCATTTATTTGAGACTTCCCTGTAAGAAATTGTTTGGTTTCCTTTTGTTCCTTCCAAATGTTTCACTCTGAGTCTTTTCTATGCTGAATTCCTTGCAGAGAGAGAACTTTAGCTTAAAAACCAACACTTTCACTCTGTGGGTTGTATTTCATTTTTCATCAAATCCTGTCAGTTTGTGGTCTTTGAAAGGTTTTTAGATGTGGAATGTCACGTGGGGYGAAGGTTTTCATTCGGATCAGACAGCTCTGAAATCTGGCCAGCATTTCCCACCAGGTATCAACTCTATTTAGSAGAAAACTCCACAAACAGCCCTCTGGATAGCCCCAAACCCTTGAGACTGTG